GCGCCCTCGTCGTCGCAGCCGTCGCCGTCGCCGCCGCCGCCGCCACCGCAGCCTCGCGGCCGCCGCAGCCTCCCCACCCGTCGCCGATCGCCCCGCAGCCCCCCGCCCGTCGCCGGTCCCAGCGCCCGCCCCGCAGCCACCCCGCCTGTCGCCCGCCCGCCCGGTCGCGCCCCCCCCGCCCCGCCTTGCCGCCTCGCCGCGTCCGATCGCCAGGCCGAAGCCTCACCGCCGCCGACCCAGCGAGACTAACGCCGTGCCGCCCGGCCTCGCCGCCCTCGCCCGCCCGCCAGGAGCCGCCCCACGCAGCCGGCCATTGTCGCCGCCATCGCTGTCGGCCCGCAGCCCGCCGCCGTCGCCGTCTGCCGCCCACCATCAATGCCGGGCCGAGGCTCTCGCCGGAGCAGCCCCCCGCCCGTTGCCGCCTTCTCCGGAGCACAGCCACCGTCGCCGCCGGCCAGCCACCGCTGACGCCGTCGTCACCCCGCCGCCGGCCAGCCAGCCACCGGGCCTCCCGGTCGCCGGCCGACGCTGTCGCCGCGAGCCGCCGCCCGACGCCGTCACCGCCGACCGACACCGTTGCCGCCGACCGACACCGTCGCCGCCGAGCTCCCCTGTCGTTCGCCCAGTCGTGGCCGAGCACCTGCACGACTAGTCACCATTTGGCCCACGCCCGCGCCGGGACCGCCACTGTTCGATCGACCGATTTTTGTTGTCCTTGAACCAAGTAAGCAACTCCCTAAACCCTAGTTAGTATAATTAGGTAATTAGTCGGACTTGTTTAGGGATTATTTAGGATCACTTTTCGTTGGCTAAGTTACAGGTCGATTTCAGGATTGCATGTGGCTTTGATCGATGGTCGACTGGTTAATTTGTCTATTATGTGGATGATTAAGCGTTAAATGACGATAGGGTGATTGATTAAGCGTTTTCACAGAAAATGCTTGAAAATTGAACAATTCTATAAAAAATCATGAAAAATTACGGAAAATTAAAAAAACGGTATGTGTTGGCAACAAATATGAAATTTGACCGTAAAAGTTTTCTAAAATTTTTAAAAAACTAAAATTTCATAATATCACAAAATGGCAAAATTAATAGTGATCACCCATTTTTAGTGAAATTTAGATTTTTTAACGTTCCGGGACAAAAAATATTAAAATATTAAAAATTTTCATAACCTTATAAAATGGCTTAAAATAAATGTGGTCACCCATTATGAGGGAAATTTTTATTTTTTTTGGGTAAAAAAAAATTAAAAAAATATATAATTTCAAAACTGCATAGAATTGCCTAGAAAACATGTGGCCATCAACTTGCAGTGAAATTTAAATTTTTTTAGGTGGCCAAAAAAAAATTAGAATTTAAAAATTTTCAAAATTTCACGGAATGGCTTATAATACATGTGGCCACCCACTTTTAGTTATATTTAATTTTTTTAACGTGCCCTAAAAATTATTAAAATAAAGAAGGACAAAAATTTTGGAAACTTTACCTAATAGCTTAGACTACCTATGGCCACCCAATTTTAGTATGGAAAATTTTTTTTATTTCATGGAAAAAATTTTATATGAAAAAATAATAATTTAAAAATTCTAAAAATTTTTAAATTTCAAAACTTTACAGAATGTCTTAGAATATCGGTGGCCACCAACTTTTACTGAAATTTTTTTTTTTAGGTCCCAAACAAAATTTAACAATAATAAAAAATTTTCTCTTACAAAACTTTACAGAATGACTTAGAATACCTGTGGCCACCCACTTTCGGTGAAATTTAAATTTTTGTACGTGGTCAAAAAAAATTTATTCAAAATGAATGCGATTCATATAGTGATGTTTGATACCTGTGGCCACCCATATCGTGCTCATATATTGATGTTTCATATCAAAATGAATGGGATTCATAGTATATTTGTTCGTAGGAAATTGCACGTCATAAGCACTCGACATTGGCTCATTTCAAGGAAACATTTTCTCAGTCTTTCCATCAAAATGGTAAGCTTCGTCATGTACATCATTATGTGTCCGTAATACGTGCCAATAGTTCTTTACATATTCGCATAACCTTCCTACTTGTCAGTATAAACGTAGAGGTCATTCGTATAGAAGACAAGCCTCTTCCTCGTCCTCGTCCCCGACCCTTTCCTCTTCCCTTGTCCCGTCATCTAATCATCAACCACAATATGGTCCGTCACAATATGGACACGTTGGCCCTTCCTCCAACACTCAACAACATGTTACGGGACTTGGCCACATGCGAACTGAATCTCCTCCAGTTCAATCTCCTTTAGCTCCCTCTCCTTCCGTTCCACCCCATTATTCGGCGGAACAATCGAATATTGACGGAAACACAGGTCAAGAAGATAACTGATTCTTCATATGCCCATTTGGAGATTCGTAAGTACTTCATTTTTATTTTAGTATATGTAATATTTAGGGCTTTAGATATTGATGTCAACTGAATTGTCGATGTTGCACAATATCCGTATGATTGCAGATTCACGGATGCTCCGTCTGTTGTGAGGGAATTGAACAAAATAGTAAGAAACTTTTGGATGGGAGAGTATATTACTTACAGAAGTGTTCCACAAGAAGTGAAAGAAATGTGGTGGAATGAGTTCAAGGTAAGTTTTACATATTTTATTTTCTCATCAATTAAGTCTGGTGTAGTATATTGATGGTCAAGAATGATGTAAAGGGACCAGAACAACTCTGTAGTTTTCGATACCTAAAGGACCAGATATTTTCCCCGACATGAACTTTACAAAATCTGTCTATATTTGTCTGGTGCATGGTTATGGATATGTGATCATCATAATAACTTTCAATTTGTGTTTTTATTCATTGCAGCGGAAGTTCAAGTGGGAGGAAGCGGAAGACAATGAAGTGAGAAGAATTTTCGATAAGAAAAACGGTGATTTTATGCGAAATGTCATGAATAGAGCAAAGATCAAGCAAGTGAAGCCGTCTTTCTTTACAGCTGACAATTGGGCGGCAATTAACAGATTTTGGGCATCTGAACAGAGTCGGCAACTCTGTGAGCAGAATAAGAAGAATCGATCTTCTAGTTCTAGTGATGGGTCAGCACACATATGCTTGGGGGCTCTATCAACATTGCGGAGCATCGCAAATGACTGGTAAGTCTGTTAAATGAGTTATAAGTTAATTTAATTCAATTACTCATGTTTACATTTTGTAGGCACAAGAATTGGGGACGGAACCGACATTTGCAGCTACATTTGAACGCACATTTCAAAAGAAAGATAAGACATGGACTGGCGATCGAGCAAAAGCTGTTAAGGTATGTAAGGTTATACTTTGGCTTATATGTAAACTATAATGAAAACCGTGAATGCTTTCAATATTTATGGTAGATATATATATAGTGATTTTATTTTCATCTACATTGTTAATGTAGGAAAAATATGATGAACTTTTAATGAGCAGTGCTAGTGGTAGTGATGATTGTCCTGAGTCCGGGCCATCAGTTGATAATATGGCATTATGGATGGAGGCAACGGGTGGGGTGAAAAAAGGGAAAATATTTGGGATGGGATCGTTGTCAAGGATGTACATGCCGAATAATCCTGGAAGTTCATCATCCACTGCGACTGGTCGAAGGAGGTCACGACAAGACGAGCAATTGACCTAAGAAGTGCATTGTCTAAATAATTTACTTGTTCAGAAGGACGAACAAATAAATAACTTAGAACAACAAATGAGACTCGTTATGCGACACCTTAACCTCAATCGCTATGACGATCCTCCTGTACCTCCAGCCAATCCAATAGGTGATGGGCACAATGATGACCAACACATTGATGCCGAGAATGCTGATGATGATGATGATTTTCTCCAGACTTTCTAGTTAAAATTCTCAAAATCGGGGGTAAGCTTGCTCCATAATCTTGGTTTTTCATAATTTCACTCGTATTCATATGTAAGAACATTTATGTTCGTCCTGAAACGTATTTTTGTTAACCCTCTTGTTATTTTACACTTAGTTCCACATCCATGCATAAACGCTTCTTTTATATTCTGGACTGATTTATGTATCGACATTTCCTCAGATCTCAACAAAAGTGACTACTTTTGGTGTCCTGCCATCGTACCAAAGCTGCGTCTTCTTGTGTATGGTTTTTCTGCGTCTTCTATGGTTGTCCCGTCTCTTAGTTCATGTTTTGAATGTATTGTAAGATTGGATATCAAATAGCATCATGTCAGACTCTGCAACTTTCCTTCAGTTATTTGTTTCAATTATATGTCATTGTGGCTGGTTTGTCAGAATCTATGGTTTGTTCGTTTTTCTGTTTCAATTATATGTCATTGTCTCCTATGTTTGATATGGACAAGAATTTATGGCCGAAATGATGTAAAAATAGCGACGAATATTTTAAGCCGAATTTTGCGATCATTATAGTTCGTCGCTAATTTGCGACGAATACATTTTGCAACGAATTTTGCGATGAAATTTGCGACGAATTTGAGACGAAATTTGCTACGAAATTTGCGACGAAATTGCGACGAAATTTGCAAATAAATTTGCGACGAATTTTGCGATGGTTCGTCGCAAATTTGCGACGGATTGTATTCGTGGCTAATTTGCGACTAATTTTGCGACGAATTGATGGATTTTGCGACGAAATTTGCGACGAAATTTTGCGACGAATTTGCAACGAAATTTGCGACGAATTTTGCGACGGATAGCGTTCGTCGCAAATTTGCGACGAAATATTTGCGACGAATTTTGCGATGGATTGTATTCGTGGCTAATTTGCGACGAAGTTTGCAATGAATTTATTTTCGTCGCAATTTTGCGACGAAATTTTAAATTTTCTGTCGCAAAATTTTGCGACGACCTAGTAGGGACGGAATTTTTTCCGTCGCAAAATTCGTCACAAATTCGATTTGCGACGGATTTTTTCAAATTTTCCGTCGCAAATTTCGCCGCTAATCCGGTGTTTTTTTGTAGTGGATTGATTGCGGTATGGATCCTTGAAACGAGTTCCTTGACAAGTTGAGAGCAGAAAGGCTCTGCAACTCCTGGATGGAACTCGGTATGGCATCGATAAGTCGGTTCCTAGAAAGATCAATGTTTTGTATAGCTATCATTTTGCCCATGTCAAGTGGTAGTCCTCCACTGAAAGAATTGAGTGACAGATTGAGGAAGATTAGTTGTTGAAGGCTTCACAAACTAATCGGTATAACTGATGTCATGTTATTTGAACTTACTAGAAACTTTTGAAGGCTGCTCAGGTTTCCAATGCAATTCGGGATCGATCCCGATATCTTATTTTGCCGGAGCAGCAAATCTCCTAAACTTGTCAAGTTGCATATCTCATTGGGGATCGGTCCTTCGAGATGGTTGTTATCGAGATACAGCCTTTGCAGGCTTTCTAGTCCTGCGAGTGATGATGGGATGTTGCCGTCTAGATCATTATCGCTCAACTCTAGGAAAGTCAAGCTCTTCAAGAAACCCATTTGGTTGGGAATATGACCTCTGATTTGACAATTGGGAGCGAATAGAATTTGTAGGGAACTCGAGAAGTTTTTGATAGATTCTGGCATGGAGCCACAAAGCGGGTTTTCTTCCGGAACCAAGGTTTGCAACGATTTGCAATTAGATAAAGTAGAGAGGAAACCAAGCTCAGAACCATAAGTCTCACCTGTTAGCTGATTTGACTGAACCATGAAGTATCTGAGGTTCTTCAAGTTGCCCAAACTCTTAGGTATCGGTCCGCTGAGTTGATTGTTTCCGGCATCGAAAAGGACTAGGTTCGAAAAATTCGAGAAATACTGCGGGATGTTGCCGCCAAAGCCATTGTTTCCTAGAAAGAGTTGTTCCAAATTCGGAAGGCTTAGTTCCCTACTCGAGGGAAGGCCTCCGGAGAGGGAATTTTCCATCAAAGAAAGCACTTGTAGCGAAGAAATGTTAAAAATCTCTTGAGGCACTATGTCCGTTAGCAAATTATCTTGAAGGCTCACTGCATTCAGATTGACCAACTTGCCAATCTCACTTGGAATGTTACCTCCGATGCTGTTAAATTCCATGTACAGCATGTGCAAGCTTGACATATTACCGATGATTCGAGGAATCATGCCGGTCAAGTTTTTTTTTTTTTGGTGTAAAATGTAAGTAGTATATAACAGATGATGTACAGCAGCTTAGGGGCATTCCCCGGCATTACAACTAGTACTAATAATTCGAGAATATGGAGGTAGGAAGTCTCCATAAAGTAGCTAAAATAACGTTAGCTTGCGAAGGTTTGATTTTTTGGTATAGCGAAGCTCTACCTCTTACATTTTTCCGCACCTTCGCCAAAATAATCCGAATGTCAGTTGGATTGTTTTGAAACCGCCTATGGTTGCGCTCCATCCAAGTGCAATATACAGTCGCTAGGAAAGATACTTTGAGGAGTTTCGCTACCAAATCTTTGCCTCTTGTTGCTCTAACCATCCATTGAAGCTGGTCAAGTTGTTAGTACCAAGATAGAGCTCCTGCAGCTTTTGCAAGCTGTCTATGTCTTGAGGAATGCTTCCCTGAAAACGATTGAATGACAACGACAACACAAGAAGCTCTTTGCATTGGGCGGTTACGGATAAAGTAGTAACTGCTAAGGGCAGTTTGAATTGAACTGGGAGATATTAAGAAGATACGTGATTGTGTATCTGTTATCTTCTCTGATGAACGTAGTTCTAAAAACTCTCCTAAAGTGCAAACAAAAGTTTCGCTCCGCAGAGGAATCCGCCAAGAACTCTTAAGCCTGCAAGTGGTGCATTTAATCTGTGCCAAAGAGGTATGTTCGTTTACGTAATATGCTTCATTCGATCGGTGATTCAAGTATAGAATGGGCACGTTTTCGGTGATTTTAGAATGTGTTTCTCCCACTCGCACATGGTGGGCTAAACATGAACTCTCTCTTCTTTGCAATATTCATACTAGCAAATAATCCGTGTGACCAGCATACTTCGAGAGCTCGTTACGATGCATCTGTTAGGAATACATAGCAGCTCAAAATTGGGCATTACGTTATCGAGTAGATATAGTATGCAATACCCTAGATCAATCAGTCACATTTATATATCTCTTGATCTCTTTTAGTATCTCGTATATTGTATTCACAACTATGATTTACTTAAAATCATAATTGGTCGACCTGTGAATACAAAAATAGAATGTGACATCATAAATAAATTGATCTTCCGCTTTTCTTAAACCTCTCTATTTCAGTCCAGCACGCTTTTCTAGAAATGCCCCATTAGATCGAATCATTCATGACCATTGGCAACACCCTAAGATAGCAAACACTGAATAAAAACTTTGAGAATAAGTCAGAGTCGTGAGGGTACTAAATGAGGAACTCTGTATCCTCAAGAGTCTCACACGGCATAAAGTTGAGATCAAGAACTTTTGCCACTCTTATCGATCGTCTCATGCATACGTAGTATGAAATACGTATTACAGTATTAACTCCTTTCCCATGAAGCGTATGTCTTTACATTCAATACCGTACAGATGATAGTTCAGACATACTCAATGTCTAAACTTGAGTTCACATATCTACTCTTCTAAAGAATCCATTAGAACTCATATCTGGCATCAAAGACAGATAAAGTAAAATATATGGACTATTTTACTTTCGGACATAGTAAATGTTATGTCCTCATCTTAGCATTTAGCTAAGGCGACATTTATATTTTAAGCTTGAGCTCTCGATTATCACCTAGATAATAATAAACTTAAAATTGTCTCATCTCTATTTATCACATAGTAAATAGAGGCGACTACTCGTGTGAGTAGGTTAATCTTATCTGTCCGACATACTTTCTTGACATAATACACTAAGTATTAAGATGCATAAATATAAAAAAATTCATAGGCATTAACAATGATATAACAATTTCATTTAAATGTGAACATTCAGGGAAATTACAATATTCAGTACATTAGCATCTACGCAGTCCTAGAGATTTTACATGACCATTGAAAACATCTCTAGGAATTGACTTCGTTATAGGATCTGCTATCATTCTATGCGTAGATATGTACTGCAAGTTCACATCCTTTCGTGCTACCATATCTTTAACAAAATTGTACTTGGTATCTATATGTTTGGTCTTGCCGTGATATTTCAGATCCTTGGTGTATGCTATTGCTGCTTGGCTATCACAATTGATTAACAATGAACTTGCAGCATACTCAACAACACCTAAATGATCCAAAAATCTCTTAAGCCAAACTCCCTCTTGTACTGCTGCTGACAATGCCACAAACTCGGCTTCCATGGTGGATAATGCTATACATGTTTGTTTCTTACTGCTCTAAAATATGGCGCCATTATTCAGTAAGTAAACAAATCCAGAGGTAGATTTCCTTTCATTTAAATCTCCTCCCCAGTCAGCATCTGAGTAGCCTTCAAGTCGTAGATCCTTTCCTTGATAACTCAAAGAATAATCAACAGTACCCTTTAGATACCTCATGATTCTTTTGACGGCTTTCCAATGTGCTTGACCCGGATTAGATTGGTATCTACTTACCATTCCAACTGCAAAACATATGTCAAGTCTTGTACACATCATAGCGTACATTAAACTCCCAACAGCACTAGCATAAGGAACGCGTTTCATTTGTTCCTTTTCTTATGGAGTCTTAGGACACAACCTACGGCTCAATCCTTCACCTTTTGCAATAGGAGTGTCCATGGGTCTACAGTCATGCATACAAAATCGTTCAAGAACTTTGTTGATATAAGTCTCTTGTGAAAGAGACAATAATCTCTTGGAACGATCTCTTGAAATCATACTCCAAGAATATATGCAGCTTCACCCATATCTTTCATCTCAAAGTTGGACGATAACCAACTCTTAACAGTATTAACCAACTCCATATTGCTTCCGGCAATCAGTATATCATCAACATATAATGATAAGATCACACATTAATCTTTGGATCCTTTGATATATACACAATGATCTTCATCAATCATTGTAAAATCATACGCCACTATGACATTATGAAAACGTGTATACCATTGTCTTGAAGACTGCTTAAGGCCATATATCGATCTCATAAGTCGACATACTTTTTGTTCTTGGCCTTTCACAATGAAGCCAATAGGTTGCTCCATGTAAATTTCTTCTTCTAATTCTCCATTTAAAAAAAAAGCAGTCTTTACATCTATTTGATGTAATTCAAGATCCATACTTGCCACTATTGCCAAAATAAGGCGAATTGAGGTAAATCTCACTACAGGAGAAAAATTTTCTTCATAATCAATTCCTTCCTGTTGATTATACCATTTCGCCACGAGGCGAGATTTATATCTTTCTATTGAGCCATCGGATTTACGTTTTATTTTGAGAACCCATTTGTTCCCAATAACTTTGCGTCCTTTCGGAAGATCAACCAATTCCCAAACTTGATTGGATTTCATTGACTCCATTTCTTCTTCCATTGCATCTATCCATTTTTCCTTATTAGGGCAATTTAGAGCCTCATTGATATTTCTTGGCTCATCTTCATCTTGTGGAGCGACCATGAAAGTTTCCCCTTCAATGTCAAAACGTCGTCGGGGAACACTTTTGCGACTTGTTCGCCGTACGGGAGATTGTACACGTGGTACATCACTCTCCATTACGCTCCCACTTGGATTAGATAATGACGGTATCGTCTCACCAAACGGTTCTAATTGAGATTGAGTCGAATTTAATTCCTCATTTCTCACATTGCTCCCACTTGGACGATCTTCATCAATTTCATTATCATGATCCAAGGTTTCAAAAAGTGAGTAGTCCTCAACTATTTCGCCCTTCTTAGGAAACTCATTCTCTAAGAATGTGACATCTCGTTATTCAAATTCAGTAATACTCCCACTTTCTTGCTCACCTATAAACACATACCCTTTCGAGTGCTCTGAGTATCTAATAAAAATACTCTTCTTGCCTCTAGGACCCAGTTTTCCATACTTGTGAGAGGGCTCGTGAGTATAAGCAGCACAACCCCAAGGTTTAAGAAAACTTAAATCGGATTTTCTACCTGTCCATAACTCATACGGAGTGGAAGTAACTGATTTAGAAGGCGCACAGTTAAGTACATAGGCAGCAGTTAACAAAACATCATCCCAAAAAGTGATAGGTAAGTTAGCTTGTGCCATCATAGACCTAACCATTTCTAGTAGGGTTCTGTTTCTCCTTTCCGCAACACCATTTTGTTGAGGAGTATAGGGAATAGACAACTGTCTTTCTATTCCCTTTTCATCACACAAATTTCTGAACTCATCAGATAGATATTCTCGACCTCGATCGGATCTCAATGCTTTTATTTTCTTATCTAATTGATTTTCCACCAAGTTCATAAATATCTTGAAGCAACTAAAAGCCTCAGATTTATGCGAAATCAAATAGACATATCCGAATCGAGTATAATCATCAATAAATGTGATAAAATAAACAGCTCCATGTCTAGCCCTCACATTCATTGGACCACAAATGTCAGAATGGATTAACTGCAAAGGAAATTCAGCTCTTGTTCCTTTTCCAAATGGTTTCCTTGTTGTTTTCCCAGCTAGGCAATGTTCACAAGTGAGCAAATTGACTTTTTCAATATTGCCCATTAAGCCTTCTTTAGCTAATCTATTCATTCGTTGTTGGCCTATATGGCCAAGCCTAGCATGCCATACGTTCACATCATTATCACACGAAGTAGAAGACGTGAAGTGGGAATAACAAACATTGACATTTACAGAATCAACATCCAGTACAATAAAACCATCTAGAAAATAACCACAACCATAATAACTCGTACCTAAATACAAGTCTACACCATTGTTATGGAAGTTCAAATTAAAACCAAGTCGAATCAACACTAAAACAGACACTAAGTTCCGACGAATTTCCGGAGCATATAATACATCATGTAGGAACAAAGTGGGTCCACCATGCATAATTAACTGGCAGTTGCCAATTCCTTTAACCTCAGCTCTGGAGTTGTTCCCTACATAAATCCATTTAGTTCCCGTTGGAACTCGTCGGAATTCTACGAAGGCTTCTCTATCCTTCGCTACATGGTCTGTTGCTCCCGAATCTACAATCCACAAAGGATTTGATTCAATTAAAAATACAGAACTTGACACATAGGCAAAGTTCTCAAGAATGCAAGGGGAGTTTACCTTCTTTGGCTCGCCGCAATCGCGAGCGAAGTGGCCCTTCTTGCTACAGTTGTAGCATTTCACCCTCGACATCTTCTTAACAAAAGAACGCTTTCCTTTGTCTTGTTGATTAAATTTTGGTTTCTTACCCGAAGAACTTGTTCCCTTGCCTTTCCATTTCATAAACCTTTCGACACGCTTGCGCTTGGAGCTCGAAGCCCCATGTGAGCTAGAACCAGCATAATAGATGTCGGTTTCTGGTTTCGCCGCCAGGAGGCAATCCTCTTCTAACTCAAGATGGCGCATGGCATCTTCAAAGGTTTTGATGTTTTCATTATGGGTCAGGTGCACCTTCATGTGCTCCCAGCTTTGAGGCAAGGAACGGATCACTGCTAGCACTTGCTGTTCATCAGTCAGAATGTGTCCAGCATCCTTCAGCTCAACGATCATGTTCGACATCTTTCTCAGGTGTTGTTTCATGGACTGACCATGAGGCTTCTTATATGAGTCAAACCTTATAGTGAGCTGTCTCAGCTTGGTCACCGACGTATGACCAAATCTCGCTGCTAATACTTCCCACATTTCCTTGGCATTCTCAAAACGCCTGAACTCTCGCATGATATCATTCTCCATGCTACTCAGCAACGTGATGCAAGCAAGCGAGTTCTTCCTCTTCCAAACAGCAAATGCATCTCTGTCTCTCTTTATGCTGTGCAGTGTTCCAATCCTCAGGTTCTTCCATAAGTTGATTAAGAGCTTCTAGTGCTTCTTGTTCTTCTAGCACATATTGGATTTTCATGTTCCATATTTCATAATTTTTGCCGTTCAATTTCTCTCCTTTGTTCAATTCAGCCACTATGTTCTTAGTTGCTGAAGCCATGGTATCTGAACATTTCAGATATATAGCACGAATTATTAATGCCACTCATTTATGCATCAGTTTTACACAAACTGATTATATTAATGAGTAATTTCACATAGTTTTTAGATTCGAAAGTTCACTATGTTCCCAATCATCATCTAAAAATCCTAATGTGAAATTATCGTTAATATAATCATTAAGGTAAAATTACGTTCGTTAAAGTTACTAAAACTTTTAGAACTCCCACTCAACCACATGATTTTAATAAGACAGATATTATAATAGAATAGTACCATAAACTATTCATAACAGAAAATATCCATCAACATCTCTTTATTAAAAAAAATATTTACATAAGGAACCAATCCAGCATAGGAAAGAAAACATCAACATCAACATGAACATGAACAGTAATATCCACCTAGGATATCTAAAAACAAACTAAGATTAAATAAAGCCAACGATTCCTAACTTTCTTAAGAACTGGGAAAAGACTTAAGAAATTCCTCATTGTCAAAACCCTTTGAAAGATCGATGGTCGTATCGGGCAGCCATGAAAAGACTGTCGGAAATCCCTTGGGTTTTTCCCATGGCGCATTCATTCTGCGCCAGGATGAATTCACCTCAAGGGTCGACGTCTTTTTCGCTCCAATCCTTATGAATTCCTTAAGAAAATCCAAAGCAAACTTTTTGTATTCTGGAATCCATGGATCACCCCCGTCATCCCATCCACCATCTTCATAAAATATTATCTCCGGACCCTTCCACAAATCATCAATCAGCATTTTCCACTCATAAGGAAGAGTGGTTCTTAGGGCATCAATCTTTTCTGAATCCAACATATGGTATCCATTCGAGATTATAGCCCGCATCATCTTGTTAACCTTCATGATGTGCATTTCCATGTGGCATCCATCCCACCGATAGGCAGCTAAATCAGCTTTCAACTTCGCGAGTGTATTCATTTGTTCATCCATCCTCAAGACTATCGATGTGTGTCAATGGCGCGCCTTTGTTCCTGCAACAAATGCAGAACAATTAAAGGATTAACACATAATCCATTGAACATCACAATAGACATTCCAGTATGCACATATCGTTGCCAAGAACGCTCCAGTTAGAGCTCCCACGATACTATTTGTTACTAAGTTGATTAGAGAACCCGCAGAAAAATAACGAGAGAAAAGAAGGAAGAGAGAAGAAAAAGAAAGGAGAAGAAGAGAGAAAGAAAGAGATTGTAAAATCCAAGAAAGGAGCTCTTGGTTTCTGTGTGTAACAGAAACCCTACACCCATCACGATATATTTATATTAAATATGAATTGTATATGACCATAATGCCCTTATATATGTAAAAAAGGAATAAAACCTAGAAAAAAAAATAATTCTACTCTAACACTCCCCCTCAAGCTGGAGCATATAGGTCACCCATGCCTTGCTTGGAACAACCAGCAACAAAGGCAGGACGAAACAACGCTTTAGTGAACATATCAACAAACTGATCTCTAGAGGCAACGTAAGGAGTGGCAACCTACTTCTGCTTCACAGCATCACGAACAAAGTGACAGTCAACTTCTATATGTTTAGTTCGCTCTTGAAAAACAGGATTTCCAGCAATATAAATAGCTGCCTGATTATCACACATCATATCAATAGGATGATTAATAGAAAATCCAAGCTCCTGGAGAAGAGATTTCAACCACAGCAATTCAGCCACAGTTTGTGCCATAGCACGATATTCAGCCTCCGCACTAGATCTGGCAATGGTAGTCTGTTTTTTGCTTCTCCAAGTAACCAAATTACCACCAAGAAAGGTGCAATACCCAGTCGTAGACCGCCGATCACACTTTGACCCATCAATCAAGATCGAATAGCCAACTAAGGTAGAAGAACCATTCGGTTTATAAATCAGTCCCTTACCAGGAGAGCCTTTAAGATATCGAAGAATGCGACAAACAGCATCCCAATGAGCCTTCTTGGGTGATTCCATAAACTGACTCACCACACTAACAGCAAAAGAAATATCGGGACGTGTAACAGTAAGATAAATTAGTTTCCCAACTAGACGCCGATACCGATGTTTATCTTCAGTATCATCTCCATCATCAACTCCAAACTTTTGATTTGGATCCATAGGAGTATCAACTGGCTTGGAAGCTAGTGTACCAGTCTCAGATAAAAGATCAAGAACATACTTTCGCTGAGACAAATTAATACCTTTCCTACTTCGTAAAACTTCAATACCTAGAAAATACCTAAGAGCTCCCAAGTCTTTAATCTGAAATTGCTGTTGAAGAAAAGATTTAACCTCAGAAATTCCGGTCGCATCACTACCAGAGACAATTATATCATCCACATAACAACAAGAATGACCACTCCCGACTCCTTCTTGCGAACAAAAACAGAATGATCAGAATAACATTGGTGAAAACCACACTTGGAAATCACCTGAACTGAATTTCTCAAACCATGCTCTAGGAGATTGTTTCAACCCATAAATGGCTTTATGTAGCCGGCATACTTTACTGCGATCCTCCCCCTGGGCAACATACCCAGGAGGTTGCTCCATATATACTTCTTCAGACAAATCACCATAAAGAAAAGCATTCTTGACATCCAATTGATATAATGGCCAATCAAAATTCACAGCAAGAGAAATAATAACACGAACAGAATTGAGACGTGCCACGGGGGAAAAAGTCTCAAAATAATCCACTCCATAAGTTTGAGTAAAACCTTTAGCAACGAGCCGAGCTTTGAGACGCTCAACTGAGCCATCCGGGTTATACTTGATAGTGTACACCCAACGACACTTCACCACATCTTTTCCAAGAGGAAGATCAACCAAAGACCACGTTTGGCGGGACACCAAAGCTTCCATTTCTACATCCATAGCTCTCTTCCACTCGAGATGAGACAAGGCCTCAGTGGTAGAAGTAGGAATTGTGTGAGTATGTAATGATAGAGCAAAGTCATGTAATGGAGGAGGAAGATGTGAAAGAGACACATAATGCTCGATAGGGTAAGCAAAAGAGGATTTTTGTGTACAAGAACGAGTACCTTTGCGAAGGGCAATCGGAAGTTCGTCCGGACCAGGAGACAAGGAGGGAGATTGAACGGAGGGCACGGAAGAGCTGGAGACCGGTAGTGCCGTAGACTGATTTCGCCGCTGATATACCTGCAAGGGAGGAGGTACGGAAGGACTAACAGAATATAAGGGAATAAGTTGTGGAATAGGAGGATCAGTTACAATGTCAGTTGAAAACTCTTTACCCTCAGTAGAATAGTATGGTGTGCCCTCGAAAAAAGTAACGTCAGCACTGACATATTGAGTACAAGTCATAGGATCATAACACCGATATCCCTTTTGAGTACGTGAATACCCGAGAAAAACACATTTAGTAGCACGAGGGGATAGTTTATCAGCACCAGGTCGTAGATTATGGACAAAGCAGACACACCCAAAGACACGCGGGGTAAGAGGAAATAACGGCTTGTCAGGAAATACAATACTGATTGGTGACTGTTGATTGAGGACAGTGGAAGGCATACGATTTATGAGGTAACAAGCAGGAAGGACAGCATCACTCCAAAATGATTTTGGGACATGCATATGTAACAAGAGTGAACGAGCAACTTCTAGAAGGTGACAGTTCTTTCTCTCGGCCACACCATTCTGCTGAGGGGTATAAGTACAACTTGTTTGATGTATAATGCCAAGACTAGAACAAAACAAAGAAATTGATTTTTGTGAGTATTCTAGAGCATTATCTCTTCGCAAAATTTTAAGGGATGTATTAAACTGATTAGTAACTTCACGATGAAATAATTGAAAAACATGTAAAAGTTCAGAGCGATCATGAAGCATATAGAGCCATGTTAGACGAGAATAATCATTCACAAAAGTAACAAAGTACTTAAAACCATTTCTATTAGCAACACAGGAAGGTCCCCAGATGTCTGAACGAACAAGTTCTAATAAAGTAGATGCACGAGAATCACTACGACTAGGAAAAGAACTACGATGATGTTTCCCAAGTTCACAAGCCTCACACTCAAGAGTAGAAATTGATTTACACTCGGGAATTATTTGCTGTAACTTAAATAAAGATAAATGCCCTAAACGGGAATGCCATAATAGGGGGGTAATAGGACTAGCAGCTAGACCATTGGCGTCAGCAGTGGAGACACCGTCCAGATAATAGAGTCCATCATGTTCATGCCCTCCACCAATCTTCTTCTTTGTTTGAAGGTCCTGAAAAATGCAATAGGAGGGGTTAAATGTAACAGAACAACTAAGATTTTTAGTTAACTGACTAACAGATAACAAATTCAAAGGAAGTTGGGGAACATGTAAAACGGAGGACAAGGATAAGGAGGGTGTAAGTGAAACAGCCCCTGATCCAACCACTTGAGTAGAGGAACCATTAGCTAGAATAACTTCAGGTGAAGGACTAGAGTTATGGTGGGAAGAAAATAATTCTTGCTTACCGGTCATATGACTAGAAGCTCCCGAGTCAATGACCCAAGAGGTGCCAGGAGACAAAGTAGAGAAAAAGGCCATGTTACCTGTACGTGCAAGAGTGGCAGTAGATGAGAAATTGGAAGCCTCCAGTTGTTGGGCACGCTTGATGAGTTGTGCGACCGTATCATCCCGAGACGCGGACTCAGAAGAACTACCCCCACTTGGGATAGATGGATTGGTGTCGCCGTAAGACACATTTCCAAGCACTCCCTTCACCCATAGCAAGATTTGCAAGAACTAATCGCCGAGCCCACTCGGCTTGCCATGCTTGGCCCAACATGTGTCAACAATATGACCAGATTTGCCGCAGTATATACACTGACGGCTATCTCGATCAGAATTTTGTCCACTACGTCCACCACCACGATCGCGACCTCCCCCTAAACCACGACCTCTATTAGAAAATCCACCACGACCACGAACACCACTACTAGCCACAAATGCTGAATTATCTTTAGATGATGTAGAAGACGGAGGGACAATGCGCTGAATCTGACAAAATGCTTCATTCATAGAAGGAACTCTCTCTCCAGCAAGAAGCTGACTCTTCATAGGCTGTAAGTCAGCATTCAAGCCTGATAAAAACTTGGCCACCTGAAATTCAGCTTGTTGTGTCTTTAGTGTCTCAAGATTAGTAGTGATGGGCTGATAAAGATTAAGTTCTTCCCACATGCCTTTCAAAGCACTATAATACTCTCCAAGAGACTTGTCCCCCTGTTTAAAATTAAAGATCTTCTCATAGAGCTCATAGACTCTAGACATGTTTTTGTCTTGTGAGTAACTCTTCATAAGATCATCCCACACTCCCTTGGCAGTTGTGTGGAACATGACATTAGCAGCAATGGATGGTTCCATGCTATTCCATAACCACACCAAAAGTGTATCATTCTCTCTCATCCAGTCACTATAGTCTTTAGAGTTTTCAGCAGGGGGTTCTGTAGTAAGATAATTAAGTTTCCCTTTGGCATTAATATAAACCTTCACAGCTTGAGCCCATAGCAAGTAATTGGAGGATCCATTCAATTTAATGGTGGTAATCTGAACATTGACACTGTCCGTAGAAGACTTAGTGCCATTCATGGTGAAAATCTCAATATAAATATATCTACCACCGATCAAAAAGGCCGAAACTTCAGTGCAAGAAATAAAACAACAATACCAACATATAATCAGATGCGATTGGCTCCATCAATCAAACAAAGGGATGCTGAAATTTTATAAATATAGGCTGCATAATCAACGAAATACCCTGATCCTTGAATCTGCTGATCAGGAAGTGTTGTAATCCATTGTCACAAACAGAACCTGATAAATCTGATTTCTCCTGATCTTATATGTATCGAGACTTGAAGAGGAAATAGGTAAAAATTGTAGCTTTAGGTGGCTACGCACCAGAGAAGGAATAGGGTTATTAGGGGACTCTCAAACCATCAATAGGACCAGGGAATCAGGTAGTCAAACCGTGCTCTGATACCATGTTACTAAGTTGATTAGAGAACCCGCAGAAAAATAACGAGAGAAAAGAAGGAAGAGAGAAGAAAAAGAGAGGAGAAGAAGAGAGAAAGAAAGAGATTGTAAAATCCAAGAAAGGGGCTCTTGGTTTCTGTGTGTAACAGAAACCCTACACCCATCACGATATATTTATATTAAATATGAATTGTATATGACCATAATGCCCTTATATATGTAAAAAAGGAATAAAACCTAGAAAATAAAAAATAATTCTACTCTAACACTATTCAACCAGACAGAAACCCCCAAATATATTTTTTTTTTGGGTCAACTCTGGTCAATGCCGGTCAACGATGGTCAACGGTGGTCAACGCAGGTCAACGGATGACCAGTCAACGGATCGGGTCAAAAGGTCAACGGGTCGGATCGGAACACCCGGGTTGGGTCGGCCTGCCGGGCTGGGCCAGGCCTTTCGGCCCAAAAAGAAAACATAAAAATATAACCGGCGTGGCTGATGTCAGTGTGACGTCAGCCACGCCCACACGCGCACGCATGGCGCGTGCGGCGCACGTGCGCGGCGGTAACCGCTGCGCACGTGCGACGCACGTGCCGGCGTAGCCGCCGCTTGCGGCGGCGCGTGGAGGCGCGTCCGGCTTCCCCCGGCGGCGTGCCACCCGTCATTTTGCTCGTATCGACGAGCACTACGACCCTATGCCTTCAAAAATAAAATTTATTGCACGGAATTTCGAGAAACGATCCCGAACAGCACGGTCGGTGTCGGTTTTCGTACCCGAGCATTCGTCGGCGCCATTTCACGAATTCCGGCCATCAATCCGTGTAATAAGCATATTAAACGATCAGGAAACAAGAACACATGTTCTGATACCAATGACGGAAACAAATTCCTAAATATAATACAAAAATTGCGGAAAAACTTGCCCATTTTCATACTTGAATCACCGATCGTTTGAAGTATATTACATGAACGAACATACCTCTTTTGCCACAGATTAAATGCACTTATCGCAGCCTCGAGAGAGAGAACAATCCTTAGATCGTTGAACAAAATCCCTTCTGCTTTGTCCTTTTGTGAGAATAAGTTTCTGATGATGAAAAAATGCAACACACACCCACTCTTACGTGTGTTCTCACTTTTTGTGTCTAGACAATAACTGCCAAGTGCAGTTATTTCCTTTCATGGACTGGGTTAGCCCATCATGAGCGGCCCATCATTCACAAAGAAAACCCATCAGGTTAGCATCTCGGGTAGCAGGCCACTGAATTGGTTATGAGACAGCAAAAGCCTCTGAATGTTAGACCAACGGTAGCAAAGATAGGAGGGAAGACTTCCAGAGAGATCATTGTACGTCAACATGACACTCGTGAGCGATCTATTGAAAAGAGTCGGAGGAATCGAACCTGTGAGTTTGTTCATGACCAAACCAATGACCTGCAATGTGGATATGTTGCCCAGGAAGCTTGGAATTTGACCCCCTAAGTCGTTGAAGCTAAGAAACAATTGTTGCAACTCAGGGAAGGCGCCGAATTCTCTTGGTATGCCACCCGTTAGCTTGTTCAGTGCGAGTGACATCAATTTGAGATTTTGGCACTGGGCTAAGTTAAGAGGGATGTTTCCTTCGAACTGGTATGATTGGAGTACGAGTTCTTTCAGGCGGCGTAAACGACCAATCTCTTTCGGAATCGTGCCATAGAAACTGTTGTTGGTAAGATCAAGAGAAACCAGGAAAGAGAGATTGCCAAGGTAAGGAGAGAGTCTTCCCTGGAGACCCATGTACGAGAGGTCTAAAGCCACGACTCTCTGCCTGCGGTTGCTGCAAACGACGCTGATCCATTCGCAGAAGTTTGCTTCCACGGTCCAATTGCCACCTTTGATCGTGTTGGTCGGGTTGACCTCGATCGCTGATTTGAAGTGGAGGAGAGCATCTCGATCGGTGAAGTTGCTGGAACAAACGGCGGGCCGAAACATCAATAGGGAAGCTAACAGAAGCTCAAGAAGTGCTAAAAAGATTAACTTCCCCATGATGAACAGTCTCTCTTTTGATTGCATCAACAGACACTTTGCTAGTTAGGACCTGTTCTTAGTAATTCATACCAAAAACTACCAAATGGTGTCTCTACATGATCCAGAATTCAGAGATATTGCAGGTTGAAAATGAGTTTTGAGCGTCAACATTCTCACATGATATGATCGTTTTCAAAATTTTAAAAAAATGCTACTCGCAATACCCCACGAATTCTGTTCGCAATTTTCCACGAACAAACAATCGCGCCTAACAAGCCATTTGAGTTGAGACCTTCCCAAGAGGTGAGCTTGGAGAACCCCTTACTAAATCATCATGCCTGGCTCCGTAGATGGCCCGTTCTTTATGTTCACACACACGCTTTTGTTTTCTCTGTGGGGGTCCCAATGGACCTTTGACTAAAGCTCCCATGGACGGATGCCAAATGGGATTGATTGCGACAACAAGGAAGAATTATTACGCAAATTTTCAACTATAATAAGTTATTTCTTTTTTAAACATATCTTAGAAATTTATGCACATAGCATGTTGTACTACCCTCGTTTTGTAAAGTTTTCGAGGGGACAGAAAATGGTTGAACATCGACTATTTTTTTTTACTTTAGCTTTAATTTTTGAGATTTGACTTTTACTTAATGTTATTCGCCTTGAGTATTTTGAGTTGCACATATTGACATTCAAATCTATCTAGAGTCGTGTAAAGTCTTTTTAGTAAACTTTCGAAAGAAAATATTTTTCCATTAGCCTTTTCAAAAATAAGAAAAGCCATATATGTCTTTTGATGTTATAGTTATTGTTAGGTTGTGACCAATAATGACGGCCATTGCTAACTCATGTTTTTATAGTTACATTTATCTTTCAATAATAGTTACTAGTGATAAACATGTGTGATTCACCAATTCATGCATTTGAGTTCGAAATAGGGATAACATATTAATCAAGGAAAAGAACAAAAATGATAAATCAGTATATTATGAAAGCAAAGTGAATATGCGATTTTTGCAAATATAAAGAAATAAAACGGTAAATAGGATAAACTAAAAAAAACCAAAAAGGAAAAAAAAATAACTATATGAGTGAGTCTCATGATATAGGACGGAGGAATGACGGAATTATAAAGTTAAAAGAAAAGGGAAAAGCAGAACAAGATCATATGAAGAAAAATTAAAATTAAATGGTTAAGAGGGAAAATAAATTGAGGTCTATAAGTGAAAATATGAAAAACCATACCTTACGTTTTTTTTCCAGTACTGTACTACTTTCCCTCCTTTATTTTGAAGATACCAGTTTGTATATTGCATTTTGCCTTTAGACATCACTTTGTACTAAGGGTGAGCATGGTCCGGGTGGGCGATTCCCACCCTAGAACCGGAAACCGCCCATTAAGGACCGATTCCGAAAAATTGAAACTGGGAACCACCCGTCAGTTCCATGGATCCACCCGGGAACCGGGCCGCCGGTCCAATTTGGTCCAATTCCCGGATGGTCCATGGAACCGGTCTCACTAGCCAAGGACGGAGACGGAAAGATGGAGATGGAGACAGAGACGGAGATGGAGAGTCGGAGACGGTGAGGTGAGCATCGAAAGAGAAGAGTGAGCGTGAGGCAAAAGCGAAAGAAGGCGTTTCTCGGCTCAATGTGAGGCTGTGAGTGTCACGCCCCGAACCCCATCGAGCACACGATATCCCTCTTCGGTCGGAATAGTGCGACGTCCCAGGAGTCGCCGACCCAAAAGAAACCCATCAGAGTTTAATCGCGGCGGAAACAACGAACACCCAGACAATGATTTACCATGGGTACTAGGGAGAATAAATTGCCAAACCACCAAATCTTATACTATACCTCAATTTAAATACAATATCCATTTACAGTAAAAACTTATGCCACAATCGCCATTTACAAACCACAAAGCAAAATATGCACATTGAACTACTAAACTGCAACCCACCGATATCTCAAAAGATTAGTAGCCTGGGTAACGCTGCACCAAAATAGAACACTTCCAGACTCTTCCTCAGCTCCAAAACTAATCCCTACGCCCTCTGCTGGCGTCCACTCTAACTCACTCTCTTCGGAATCCTCATCCGAATCCTCATCAGGCACAGGCTCATCCGACGACTCCGAATCGGCCTCAATCTCGATCGGGAACTCTACCACATCATGATTAGTATACATAACAATCCCAAAACGCTGCAGCAGCGGCGACGGAAGGTTCATGGCTCGGATGGGTGCTCTGAAATGGTTTGGTTGAAACAACCATGAGATCACATCTCAATAAGCACACACCCTAAACCCCACCTAGGCTATCACGTATCTCCAGACATTCATACAAAACACAATCACATACATTCAATAATCAAATCGCAGGCACATGAATCATTCTTACCCGGCCTATCATGAGGGCTACCTGCACGTTAGTCGCAATCACATCATATGTAATCACATGCATGCTTAAATCACGTTTCATGCATTTCCACTTGCCTCATCACATTCCTTTCCATACCACTTGCCAGTGACCCGCATTACAGTACACGCCTTAGGTTCACTGCGACCAATTATCACAACACTTTAGGGCCCGCGTTACAGTACACGCCTCAGGCCATGTTTCTCGTCCGCGTTACAGTACACGCCTCAGGCTCAACATCTACCACCTACTGCACAACCCGCGTTGAAGTGCACGCCTCAGGCTGGCAATCTTCCGGTAATACCGGGCATCGTCCCGCGTTGAAGTACACGTCTCAGGACGGCACAATTCCCACGATCGCACATGCCACACCACATTCGCTTTCTTGCTCATGCACATGCTCAACAACCACTTGCCACTCAGTTGGCCAATCACACGCGGCCCGTGCACGCAACAATTCACATACATTTTTCATGCTCACCAAGCATTCGATATGGCCTATTTGACAATTCATTCAGTCCGGCCCAAGCGTGCACACAATCAAGCATATTTCAGTCCATCAAATCTCGGTACAATAAACACACAAGGCCACTAACGGGCCCACAAACACAGCCACGTTCAAAGGCACAAATTTAACATTTCCACGCATAATTCAAGTCATAATGGGCACCACGACACAGTCACATCACAGCCCATTCAAACCGACACAAATCGTCTCCAAATCGGACTATATGTCCGTCATTTCAATCCACAACGTCCGACACCCTAATCAGTCTCACTCCAGCCCCGAAACATCCTCATTTCATCCTCAAAATAATTCATACAACAAAAATTCAAGCATCAATTCCAGTCACGAGGGCAGCAACCATTCAACCTCGACACCCCTGCCATTTCACTCATAAAAATGAACATCCAAAGAATCGGGGTAAAATTGGGCAGTTTACACAGTGACATAAATCTCATCAAAATAAATAGTAAAAGAACTCCAAAAATTCTAAATTTTGGATATATTGCGTAAAACATCTTGATAAACATTTTTCGTGAAGAACTCGAAACCCAGTTCCAACTATAAACACCTCTTTTTGTCACTTGAAGTCAGATGAAAATCAACCCGTCCGGTCAGGCCACCTGACCATAAAAATGCATCTCATCCAGTACCCAAATCACTTTAGAAAACCTTGAAATTTTTATATGTCATATTCACAAATGTCCCCAACAAGTTTTGTGAAGGAAGTATTGTGAAAATGGGTCTGGAAAAATTTATAAAAATTCGAACAGACCCGAAGGTCGGAGGAACAGTATTTCCAGCACACGAATTTCGGTCCAAAGATGGACTTCCGAATGGCCTCCGATGATTTCCAAAAATTCTCAAATTAAATTATGTCATACTTCAAGATGTTGGGAGAAACTTTCATGAAGACATCTTCCTCAAATTCGGCCCACACAATTCTCCACAAAAATAGCAAACCGGACGGGTACAGTAACCGCGAATCAGAAATTCACCTCAAATTTCAATGATCCGAGCCTTAGTTGATATCCACCCAATTTCAACCCACAAAACTCACTCCACAATGCTCAAACTACCATCCAACAGCCACAAGGATATCCAAGAACACAATGAAAGATCGAGCTCTCCTTTAATCTACCTATAATCACCTCAATCAACCCCTAAAACCGACTAAACCGCGTTTAAACTAGTCCGTTAATACCCGATATCCTAAATAGGGTTTAGGGGGCGACTTACCGAGCCCTAGACTACCTCGGCTAGAGCGACAAGCGGCGGTGATTGACGGGGACGGCGGCGAATGGCGCGGCTTGGCACGGCGGACGGCGATTGGCGCACGGCAGACGGCGATCGGCGCACGGCGGTGGCGCGGCTTCCCTTGGCTGACCAGCTCACGGCCAAGAGGAGGAGAGAGAGAAAACCGAGAGAAGGACAGCTTGGGGTGGCGGCGGTGGTACGGCGGCCAGCGGGCGGTGAGCGGTGGCGCCGACGTACGGCCAAAGGGGCGATCGGCGGTGAGGGAAAGAGGGAGAGAGAGAGGTTTCGGTGGGGGGGGTGGCTGCCGTGAGGGAGAGAGAGAGGAAATGAGGAGAGAGAACGGGTCTTGGACTTAAATAGTCACATTTTGACCAAAAGTGGCAAATTACCATCTTGCCCCTCTCTCACAATCCAAATCGACGGTCCAGATTCGATCTTATCTTGAAACAGACGGCCGAGATCAAATCTTACCAAAAATATCCAAGGGCATTATGGGAATTTCATAAAATTCCAAGGGCAAAATTGTCCAATCCAAAAAGTTAGGGCAAAATGACCAAAATGCCCTTCTACCATAAAGCATGCCCTTTACAAACTCTTAGGGGTAAAATGGTCACTTTCCTCATTTCTCATCGAAATCGGATTTTTCCGAAGGAATCGGGACATTCCAAAATTGCACAACCCATTCACAACGTCATCCTAGCGCTTAGTTGTGACTTCCTAATTTTCCGGTGTCCGATTTGGGCTCAATTAAATAATTAAATTTTATTAAACGCAACTCGAGTATTTCTCAAACTAACGAGTGGCTCGTTGTGAAAATTCGCATATTCGATCCGT